TGGCTGGATGGCCACACACAAAGAGTTGTGGTCAATGGCTCAATGTCTGGCTGGAGACCAGTAACGAGTGGTGTCCCTCAGGGATCGGTGTTGGGACCGGTCTTGTTCAACATCTTTGTCGCTGACATGGACAGTGGGATTGAGTGCACCCTCAGCAAGTTTGCCGATGACACCAAGCTGTGTGGTTCAGTTGATACGCTGGAGGGAAGGAATGCCATCCAGAGGGACCTTGACACGCTTGTGAGGTGGGCTGATGCCAACCTCATGAAGTTTAACCATGCCAAGTGCAAGGTCCTACACCTGGGTCGGAGCAATCCCAGGCACAGCTACAGGCTGGGCAGAGAAAAGATTCAGAGCAGCCCTGCGGAGAAGGACTTGGGGGTGTTGGTCGATGAGAAAATGAACATGAGCCAGCTTCAGTGTGCGCTTGCAGCCCAGAAAGCCAACTGTATCCTGGGCTGCATCAAAAGGAGCGTGACCAGCAGGTTGAAGGAGGTGATCCTGCTCCTTTACTCTGCTCTCGTGAGACCTCACTTGGAGTATTGTGTGCAGTTCTGGTGTTCTCAACATAAAAAGGACATGGAACTGTTGGAACAAGTCCAGAGAAGGGCCACGAGGATGATCAGGGGACTGGAGCACCTCGTGTATGAAGACAGGCTGAGGAAGTTGGGGGTGTTCAGCCTGGAGAAGAAAGCTGCATGGAGACCTCATAGCAGCCTTCCAGCATCTGAAGGGGGCCTATAGGGATGCTGGAGAGGGACTCTTCATTAGGGACTGTAGTGATAGGACAAGGGGTAACGGGTTAAAACTTAAACAGGGGAAGTTTAGGTTGGATATAAGAAGGAAATTCTTTCCTGTTAGGGTGGTGAGGCACTGGAATGAGTTGCCCAGGGAGGTTGTGAATGCTCCATCCCTGGCAGTGTTCAAGGCCAGGTTGGATGAGGCCTTGGCTGATATGATTTAGCATAGGGTGTCCCTGCCCACGGCAGGGGGTTGGAACTAGAGGATCTTAAGGTCCTTTCCAACCCTAACGATTCTATGATTCTATGATTCTATTTTATGATTCTGATAAATAATTCAGCCTGAAGAGTGTTGCACATTTCCTTTGGCCTGCTGGGCAATTTCACTGTTTTGAAATTAGTCCTGTGTACCACGACCAACCATTTTATACCTTCCCCCTTTCATTTGTATCTGAGAACCCCACCAAAGTCAGGTTGTCTAAATTAGTTTTGCTCCCTTGTGTCAGGACAATCTCTCAACCTACTCTTCCATTCGAAGACAGATGTAAAATACTGGTTTGGTAGCTGAGCAGAGAAGTAAACGCCATGTATTTGTTGAAGCTCTTTTAATTAATTGGTTTTGGTAAAAGATGAGAAGGGAACAGGCATCCCTGTTATAAATTATTTTTTCTGAGTATCCAAGTCTCTATAGTGTAAACCAGTGGTTTTAGTTTCTTCTTTTCACCACTTTGCCAGCTTAATGGAAACATCTCTGGACTGAGCTGCAGAGTAAATGAAGGAGTCTTCAAAGTCCCCTGAGAAACTCCATTCCACTTCTGGACTGCTTCCAGTATGGCAGTAATTGTACAATTATAGCAGCATTATATATAGAAAATCAGCACGAGTTCTGAAGTTGTTCAACAATAGCTAAGCATAATTATTTACATTAGTCACAGAATTTCTAGGAGAAAAAAAGCCTTACACAACTAAAATTAGGCTTTTGGGGAAGGCAAATTGTGGCAATTACTGGCCTAGGAGCTCTTTTTAATGTAATGTTGGTGTATTGAATAGGAAGAAATCTAGTTGGGTTTTCTTTCAACTGCAATGCTAGCTGTAATGCTGCAATCATTCTGTATGTACTCACTTAAGAAAGCAGAGAGAGCTGTCTGATGGCAATTACAATTCTCACTGCTAGAGAGCCAGGTCACAAATTAGTAATCTGTGACTTTTCGTATCTTGCAAAAAGATAGGCCTCATATCCTTCGGAAAACAAGAGAATATGCATTCCATTATACTGCAAGAAAGAGCTGGTCATTAATTTATATCTGCAGAATAATTATGTTTCACAAGGACTGAGTAAAAACAGTAAAAACTACTCACTGATACGAAGTATTTACAGCAGGGAAACTAACCTTGGTTCTTCAGTAGTGTGAAAAAAACACCACTCTTCTTGAAAAATATGTAGAATAATTGAAGAGCTACGACGATGCAAAAACAGTATAAAGAAATAATGACCCTGAAACATAACATAATCAGGTACAAGTAATACGCTTTTAAAAAGTGTGACCTAGGTAAGTGAATGTACCAAATTACTGCAGCTCCATACCTACCAGCAAATTAAAAACGTGAGTTATTAGAAGCCATAGTTACAATGAATTAGTGAAAGGCTTTTTTTTCCACAAATAGGAAAGCCTTCTGTAATCAAAACAATTATGGTTCTTTGGTGCAGCATTGTCAAACCCAGCATACAGAGATCTCACCCCACTGCCCAGGGAAGCTGTACTCCTTGAGATAATCAAAAGTCATTCTACTCTGTTTAGTAATTGCCGATGCTGTGCATGTGGCAGCGGAGTGAACTAGCTGAAAGAGACTGACAATGCAACAAGGAACCATAAGAAGTTAAAAGTGATGTAAATAAAGAGTTCATCCTGTACAATCTAGTGGCCAGTCTGGCCCTATGTCCACAACCACAAATGTCAGTCTTACCTTGCAGGCATCCTTCCCAAATGTAAAGGAAGAAGCTTAATTGAGATTAATGACCTTTTTTGGAGCCCATGGAAAGTCCTAATTAATAAGGCAATATATTGTGTTGTTTTAAATGAATAAGGCAATACATGCGTTATTACATTAATGTAATTTATAATACATGCAATCTTCAGAAGACAAAAAAAGCAGTGACCAACATGACACTGAGTGAAAAACATAGCTTTCTCAATTGGCTTTTCAGAGACATTTTTACCTGTTCAGTTTAAAGTTAGCATTCAAGTTTGTTTGGGTTTTTTTGAAGGCCAGTATGCTTGCTCTCCCCACCAGCATCATCCAAACTCTTGCTGATGTTGCACCAAGCAGATATGGCTTCAAATCAGCTTGCATTGTGGTCAGGGATGATAGGCTTCTGTAAATCTAAGTTAGAGAAATTGTACTTACATTTGTTGATTTTGCTTGTGATGACAGTTTTTTTGGTTTCTTGAAATGTTAAACTTAGGGTTTTTTCCATTTCCTATCACCTGCTATGGTCTCACATATTTCTATTGTCATGGCACAACACCTTTCACATAAAACAAGGCCAAAAGTTTTCACACAGTCACTCCTGCCTCAAACTAACTGTTCTCAGATGAACTAGACTGGTATCCTGTTAAAAGGTATATAATTTAAGAAGTTTTCATGGTAGAGATTGAACCCTTCATGTACACACACAACACACACACATACTTTCAAAGGGAAGCCTATTTACTGTTTCCTTAACGATATACTTGATAATGTTATACTTCAAGAATCTTCCAGATGCCCTGAAAAGTCCTACACAAAACAGTCCACATGATGCAAGACTTCATTTATGTACATGCATGTGTCCTTGTGTTTTATATCAAGAAATATAAAGACATTCACAAATGCACACAATAAATATACTTATCCAACCTGAAATAATTATATTCAGATGCTGAGCAGATTACCTAAAAAGCAGAGAAACAGATTTACTTTTTTCTTTCTTTATCAGGTCAACTTAAAAGTTCTGTATGCATCTTCTCTTTTATTCTACCCCTAATTTTATCCTGCTTTGTCCAGAAGTGTGATCCTTCCACACTGTGCAGCCATCCTTCCTTTTAAACTTTACTTTCAGTCAGTGCTTGTGTCTTCTCATTTCCTCTTCAGCTTAGTTGCAGTTCTTGAGTGAGTGGTATTCCTGATTTATGTGTCATCACCCCAAACATAACGTTTACAATTTGCAAATTATAGAACACTAAAGAAGAAATTCAGGCACATCTAATTCTGTTGACCACTGGGAGCTGTACAGTGACTGTTAGGACCACAGTCTCATTGTGGTCCTAACATTGAGCAGTCTGCATGAAGTTGAACACTCATTAATGCTCATGCATGATGCAATCATCGCCCGTAATTTTTAGTGCCTTACATTATGGCATTTTCATGCTACACTAATGGACTTCGTAAGTTCCTTTGCAGTATGTGTTTTCCTCATGCTCGGTTTGCTGCATAAAATTCTTTTACTTGCAAAGAAAACTCACCCTATTTGAAGGATACTCACCCTATTTGAAGGATGCTCATCCTACCCTAAACGCAGTCAAAATTCAATTTATTAGATGCTGTTAAAATAAATGACAGTTCTATGTCACAGAAGTGCTGAAACAACTCTGTTCAATATACCTTTATGCCTGTTTCTGTCCAGCAGCTTTTTACATACAGAAAAGATGGTTTTCAGTAAAGTAGATTCTTTGCATAAAAATATCCTAGTTCTAATTGTGTGCAGGTTTAAATGTGCTTAATAAACAAACACTGAGATCAAAAGTATGCAAAGTGAGCATATATTCAAGTCTTCCGGGGAGTAAGACCTGCATTACAAGAAATAAGTTTTATAAATATATCCAGAGAATTGATAGCAGAGCTTTTACCACAAGGGCTTGATCTTATACTTTTTACCCACTCCAAAGTTCCTGTTTACTTTCTCTGGTCCTCTGTAAAAACTCGATGATGATTTCAGAAACCACACAAAACACCACACAGAAAGATGTTTAGATTCTCTATTTTTTAGTATTTCTAGACAGTACTAATGTCTGGACAGCCCTATTCAAACCAATCAAGGTTCAGAGCATGTCATTCTTCCTCAGCCTGTGTTGGTACAAGCTTACATTCAATTCACAATTAAAACTAACCAACAGCCTTAGTATTCACCTTACTGTTTTTAATGTGAGTGATAACATTGTATGGCTTTTGTCTCATATTCTTAGGGAAACAAAAGAGCTAGCAAAAATTATATGAGACAAATTAGACAGTTTTAAGATCAACTTTTATTGAAAAATTAAAACTGCATTGCATATCTTTATAACTTCAACATTTCTTAAACCACAAAACAGAGATTCCATTTAAAAAATCTCTTCATATTTTTCACCATTCAAAAAACAGTTTATGAACTAAGTCAAGATGAATTTAAAATCCTGCGTTATTCCCAAGGCCTCTGGTTCCGTCTATCTGCCGTGAATGGTATCATCTCTCTTCTCTAAAATGTACTTTTAATTATACAATCAGAATTTTTCTCATTCAACACCAACAGCTGCTGTTGATTTTTGTCCAGTGGTCAGTCTTTTCCAAATAAATTACATCAGTTGAGCACTGCAGCTACATGTTCACCTAAGATCTTGCCTACTGTTTGTTTGATGTGAATTCACCCCCACAAAATTACAGTGATTGTTCATGTGACTTTAAAAGCAAAATTGCTACCTTAGAGTATATTTTAAACCTCAGAAATAAAGTTACTCACCTGGAATTACAATGCTTTGAATTAGTCAACACCACTGTGCATGCATACTTACTGATCTCTCACAGTGTATGGAATAGAAAGCAGGCAAATTCCAGGTAAGCTTTGTCTGAGAAGCTGTAACATGTGAGATGTTACATACCAGATGAAAATTGCCTACTGAGAAGAAAACACAGATGAGTTTTATCATCAATGATGACCATAACTGCTCTGTTAAAATCAGCTAACCAAGTCAGAAATTAATAGGAGCCCTGTGCCTGTGGAACATGGTACCTGTAATAGGGAAACACTCCAGAGCCTGTTATTAGAATGAAAAGCTTTGCAAAAATCTAATTTTGTGTGTCATCTGTGTCAAGACACAACACTGCAGAAAGGCAAGATAAAATGCAGAGGGCAGGAAAATAAATCTAACTCCCCTGTCTTCAGAGAAAACACCTCTGTGTTAACTGTCTCACTTCTGAAACAGGCAGGAGGAGCTCCATTATTCCCATCTAATTGCAAACCAACAATGGAAATAGGTAGAACCTCTGATGCTTTTGACCCCCAAAACACAAGATACTCTATTAAATGAAGAAGTGGAAATTTTAGCAAGCAAAACATCATATACGTGCTGAAGAGACCTGTATCTATTTCTGACTACATCTCAGGACTGTCTAAGGATTGCTGTATGAATGCTAATAAGCCATATTATGGTATTTCCTAGTTCAGATCAGTTACATAAGGATTATTCTCTTCACTTAGTTTATAAGGAGATACATGCTTTAAGGAGATATAATATTTCAAATACAATAAAATACTATTAGAATATTGAAATGATGAGCTGGATACAAGGTCCATGATGTTAAAATATTCAGGTTAGAGGACTAAGGGTAAGTTGGAATCTTTAGTAATACAGTTGCTGAAATATCTTGACTATAGATGTGGAGGAAGTCAGAAATTCCCACCTAAGAACTGGTTGCAAAAATCACAAGGAACATGATGCTGCTTGTGTGGCGGATGTAAAATCCCCTAGTGAAGCTAGGTCAGCAGTTATGTATCTTTGCATTGATTATACTATTTCATATGGTTTCTCATAAAGAAGAAAGAGAAATCTTTCAATCTTCTGTAGCTGCCCTTTGAGTAAAGTAAAACTGACAGAGACCAGAAATCAGGCAGAAGCCTGTAAATCAGAATGTAACATACTTCCTCTTTAACACAAACTTCTCTCTGTACTCAAAAAGTAGAAAGTTATGGAAGAGGGATAAGCAATACGCCCTGTGAAAAACTGGGAAGGCTGTTCTGTATGGTATGGTAGTCACCATGACAGCTTCTTCCTTCTCCCTGCTCTGAAGCAGCCAAAGAAGTGAGACAGCATCCTCAGAAGACAACCAGTGGGACCTGCAGAATGGAAAACTCTCCTCACTCTAGCTGCCATTCAACAGGACTGAAGGGGGCGAGAGAGGCTGTAGAAACCGCATAGCATTACTGCATTTCATTGGCTCTTTCAAAAATAATTTAACGTTATTACTGATTTGGTGGAGGGGGAGCAAATTATTACTGATTTATATAGGAGGTAGCCATAGAATCCTGTATGAAAAGATCTGAAATTAGCATATTCCATTAATCACCATGACAGTAACTCAGTAGACAGCGGATTATTGAATCTTCGTTTTGTTCCACTACTCTGTTTCCAGTATAGAGTTTTCCATTTGGTAGTATTGATTATCTAATGATTAAAACTGAATAAGCTGCAAGATGAATCTGGTTCCTATACTTTGAAAAGTCTAGCCAGTTGAAATTGTTGTGACAAGCCAGCTATATTTAAAGATTCCGAGATTACTTTTGGGTTTATTTATTTTATAAGCTCCAAACACATAGTGAATTCCATTTCACTAAAAGAATGACGCTGCTTAAAACTCCCACAGAATTTAGTTAAAATGGCCTTTAGAGATTAGTCCTGAAATTCAAATAAAAAACAGGGGCCTTGGTTAGTAACAATTATTCACTAGAAAAGCATTCAGAACACTGAACAAACAGTCCGACATCACAATAAATAAAACTGAAAATTCTAATAGATTAAAAGGATTTCATCATTTGACAGTCTATACACAGTGTTAGAATTCCTTATATTCAGAAAAATTATCCATAAGTTATTACTTTAAGGGCACTAGGATTTAAATTAAAGTATCAACTAATTTTTTGTCTTTTTTTCTTTGGCTCACAAAGACACTAAAATACCATAAACATTATTTAGAACTTCAATAATATATAAATAGGATACATTACAAATGGAAGAAAATACAAGACAACTCTTCAGCATGGTAAATCTCTGCATATAAATAAGCAAATATTTCATATACCTACAATTCAACAGTTATCTTGTTGCAAAACTATTACATTTAAATCCTTTTACACAAAGTCATTTAACAATAATATACACAATCTACACAAATTAACCTCTAAAAATACAGCAATAATATAACTGTTACAATGACTCTGCTACTATTATCCCCTGATGTGACACTAAAGGGGAAATACAACTATTATACTCAAAGGTGCTGTTAGAGATTGCTGTTTCGTATTTAAGAGAAGCACCAACAACAAGATTTAATACTGTTATACATTTTCGTTAGCTCCTAAGAATCTACATTTTTGAAACATTTCTATATGTCTAATTTTAGCCGGCAGAAAAGTCTGTAGCACATTATCCACATCATTAATTGTTGAAGGAAAAGTTAATTCTCTTAAAGTGGAAAACATGCTGTGGCTTAGATCTAAGTTTATACCCACTTTATATATATGTATGTATATATATATAATTATATATATATTTATTTATACTGTACATATATACTGTGCAGAGCTCTTAATTTGCTATTTTAGGACTCATTAGTTTCCTGCTGGCTACAATAAACAAGACCAACATAAGAGTCAATTGTACTTCAACTTCAAGATAATACATTTTCCCTCAGTAATATGATCTACCAATACATATATGTTTCAGTATCCTACAGTTGTTTTATTTAAGGATGCCTTAGGAGATTGGAACTCACAGAAAGAGAATTTCCTTAAAACATGTTCTGCAGAACTGGGTTTAAAAATTATCCAGCACTGGAAAACAGTGAATTAGAGAAATAAACAATTCAATCAATGTACTACAGCTCCTGCCCCAATCTCTCTATTTCCTCAATGAGGAAGTCAATGTCAGACTTAGTTGCTGCTGGGTTTGAGATGACCATTCGGAAGAAGTTGACTTTATCACCCTGAGGCTGATATCCAACCATCGTAGTACCTGACTCCATCATCAGTGCTTTGATTTTTGGTGCCACCTTTATGATTTAAGAGAGAGAGAGAAGAGTAATTTTTAAAAAAATATTCTTTCTTTTTATATCACATCATTGCTTAGTTTGGAAAAAATACATGGACCGATCATAAAGACACTAGTTCCCATAGAAAGATATGTAACAGAAAAAAACTTGAAAACCTAAATATGTAGGATTGGATATTTAAAGCAAAATTGACAATGAAAACATCCATCTTTTTGATTAATAGACTAACAACATCCTAGAGCATTCACTATGTAATAATTTTATATATTAAATGTACATGTCATTTCTTTGTACTGAAGATTTTGTCATGAAGAAATGTGTTCTTTTTATGAAAATCTACTCCAGGACCTCCTTTGTGAGGGTAATGATGTTTTCCATGAGAATATTACATGTTATCAAAGTTATTTTCTTAGAGGAGGGGGACACAACAAAGATGGAAATTTTTCAGTAAGATCTGAAGTTATAAAGAATATTTTCTGTTAGCATAAGATATGGAAACCTCCCAGCAGTTTTGCAGTACTGTGCATTTACCACAGTCTCACTTTCTCACTTTAATTTTCAAGGAATAATAGTCTTAAAATTTGGTATTGAGTGAGCCCAGTTTTTCCATCCAGACCTTCTTTCTCCTGCTCTCTGTCAGCCAAGGGCAAATGTCTGGCTTTTTTACCGTTTTGTAGGATGCTTTATAATGTCTTCTAATGTTGAATAGGGTCATGTCAAACATTTCATCCTTCTTACCAGTCTTACCTATCTTCCTCTTTTCTCTCTTTTTTGGCAATTTCTTTATTTAACACTTCATTGGGTTGACCCAGGATTTTTTATACTCTTCTGTGGTCTTTCCCCACTGTGATGTAGACATAAAATCCTCTACAACACCTCCTAAGTTTACCTATTCTTCTCCCTTCCCAAACATAAAACAAATTGCAACTCACTTTAACAACCAAATTAATTCTTTTGCCTCCTGAGTGCATTTCATTCCATTTTTGTCTGTCTAAAATGCCACTACAAAATTAATGTATTTCACTTCCCTCTAGACCTAAGTATTTTTCCTGGTTCTGCCTCTATGATGTCTTCACTTCCCTCTAATCATTACTGCAAATAAATTTATCCCCAAATTTTCCAAAGGGTATTAATTTTCATTGGAATGCATTAATGCGTGACTAACCAAGCACATTTATAATACAAATAAAGACCTGAGAAAGACTGACTGGTTTCCATGTCCTTTACCTGTCCCAGCATTTTCAAATAATTACCCTTCCCTTTCTCTTGCTGATATGCTGTCCTATTCAAACAGGGCTGGGATGCCTTTTTGCCTGCTTTTTAAAGATCTGTAACACTTGGGAGCACAGAAGTGATAATAAAACTAAGAATAACTGGCTATGCTCTGTATCAAGTTCTATAGAAGAAATATGACTTCAGGCTCAGTATAAATAGGAGACAAAGGTGAATGAATATCAAGGTCATGACTAGCAATTGGGAAACTGACGTCCCAGAATCTGGAACAGTTGTCAACACACAGATACGTTATTTTTAATGAGCAGAATACTCTGGGTTGAAATAGGCTACATTTTTGCATTTAACAAAAACCACATACCCTGTGTAATTTTTCTCTTCTCTCATCACAGTCTGGCATGCCCCTGAGACTCGGTGGAATATACCAAAAACACACATTTGTATGCTCTGGCTGCAAAAAGAACCGAATACATACGTCAATAACCAAAATAATGCACCTCAATCACGCGCTAAAGGTTAGTCAGTAGCATACTTTAGCACAGTGTGAAAGACAAAATATACCATTATCTTTCCCAGTTCTGCATGTTAAAACAAAACCAAATGGATTATAGTGATGCTGGTTTCATCTGCTGTCTTGGATTCCCTATACATTGTTCCACTTATAATATTTTAGGGTACTAATGAAGCGCAAATGCTTTCTACCTTCATGCAGTTTTATGAGGAACTGGCTTCCAGGATCACAGCAAGGGCAACACAATTTTCCTTTCCTTAGTAAATGGAGACAAAGTATATTTGTTATTCTATCAATCAAGTGCTGTGGCACTACCAACAGAACATACAGCAGTATAGCTCATTCACAGTTATGTATGTTATAATAGGGAATCTCAGCGTGAGAAGATTGTATTAAGGTAGTCTTCATGGCCTAAACTGAGATGTTTTCTGCAGAAAAGCATGAGATAAATCTGACATTTACAGTACAAACCCACATGCATTCAGCAAAAAAACTGCCCAGGTGTCAATAGTCATGTAGTTCTTCGGAAAATAAAAGCAGTTTTGTATAATCGGCTTGAAGAAATGTGAAAAGTGTGAAGGCTGGTTTCAAAGTTCCATATAGATTTGTTTCCTATGCACAGGTTAAAGAAAACTTACCTCCCCTTCGAAAACCATCTCAAATTCTTCTCTGTTTTTGATTTTAGTGTAGAGATATTCTGCCAGCTCCAGGCATTTGTTGATCTGATTTTCAAATCCTACAGTACCCTGGTTTAAAAAGAAAGTATTACCTATGTGATCATTTTTCCTACTCCAATGCGTTTACCTTTTCAGATAGGCTTCACTCTAAAGTGTTTGCTGTCAAAAAAATATTTAGCAGTATTGTTTCTTGTAATTAAAAAATAAAGTTAATCAACACTACAAAAGTGGCTAAATGGGGCCTAACTGTAATCACTGTTTGGTTTTGGTCTTGTTTTAAGAGGATTTAATATGATAATAACAAGGGGGTTTGATATTCTTGATAGATTATTTCAAGCTCTCGGTTTCCCCAGTTTCAAAAAATATTATGAATATTAAGTTATTCAGCTCTTGCTGGAAGACTAGGAACATGGAATGGCAACACAGTTGAAAGGGTAAGAGTTGGAAAATCATTTATTTCCTTTGAACAGTGTAAGAAATTTGCATTTAAAACAGTCAGCAATCACAAGCCTGCAATATGTTTGCTGAAAGTCATTTGCCTACCCACTGGTCTTTTGTCATATCTGATTTGGTTTTTGTTTTGAAAGATCATGATCTTAGGAAAAGTAGATGAATGTTGAGAATAAATAAAATAGGAAAAAAAAAACAAAAAATAACTTGTGGGTTTTGTTGTTTTGGGTTTTTTTTTGTACATGAATGAAGAAATAAGAAAGACAAGTACACTCCTCAATTACTGCATATGTGGGGTAAGTTCTTTATACTGAATAAAATGACAGAAGGTAAAGTCACAAGAATACCTCTGGACCTAGGCTGTACATTTCTACTATGAGGACAAGATCACTCACGATGGCTAATGCTGAAGGAAAAATGTCCATAGCTTCTAATATTGTATTTTCTTAACATTCTTTTAATATAATCATGCAATCTGCTAGAAACAGGTTTTATCTAATACATCAGAGAACTCAGGTCCAAGGAATCTTAATTTGTCTCAAGACCAAACAGGAATCAAAAGTAACTAATTTCCAGATAAATTTAAATTCCAGATATACAGATCAACTATATATTATTTTTATATAATCACATCCATGACTATCTTACTTCTGAATTTTAAATATGACTCATATCCATTATGGTTTCCACTGTATTTTTTTTAATTTATTGTGAAGTGTTCTATTTTTTTAGTGTTCTACTTTTTTAGTGATGTCAGTTTAACAGGTGAATGTAACAGCAGAGGTAGACTCTGCATGTTAGTTTTAACAAAATGTGTTCAGCTGGGAATCAGAAAAACATTCAGTCCGTGCTTTGAATGTGTCTGTAGTCAGTACTTGGTAAATAAGCAACACACTTCAAAGCTGTTAGTCACAGTCTGATTCTAGTGTGTCATAAGCAGTTTCACATTACTGGATTACGGTACCAAAATTATTTATTTTGGAGGAAGAACTGAGCCTGAGCTGAAATGTACTTAGCCTGGTAATCAAACCTATGCTGATAACTAAAATAATTGTTACAAGTGTTTTGTGCAGACATGTTATGTTTCTTTTTCTGAAGTACTTTTTAAAATAAAGTATGACATGTCTACAATCTGCTTAGAAGTAACTAAAATTCTGTAACTTTCTTCAACAGTAAACTAATCCTCATGAAAATATCTTTTATCATCGCAAGTTATTTACTATTGCTGTCTAAATCTCACCCAAAGTGAAAACTATTTTATGATTGTGCGTTTTGACATTACATTTAATCTCAGTTTTATAAAAAAAGATTAATCTGCAGGCAGGTTACCCAACTGAATTCCCATTTTGTCAGCAGAGGAGCAAGAGTAATAGTAGTAAGATGACTGCAGATAAAGAAATAAATATTAAATGTGTTTTCTTGACTACCTGGACATTCATCTTGTGAACACATAAACCTGTATACAAGTCCATGCTTAAATTCAGCCATCCAGCCACACCACAGTAGTACCAGGGAATCAACTCTTAAATCATCAGTTGGGCGAAGCTGCTTAAGAAACAAGCTTTGTCTTCAAAGTTGCTTATAAAATCTAGGCATTGAAAGGTGACGCTCAAAGGACCCTTGTAAATCATCAAGTCTACTCTGCTGCTACTACAAGCGATCTGTCAGAAAATTCAGATAAGAGTGTACAGAATCACAACAAACGACCATTTTGGTTCACTGGTTTTACTATAGGACTCATGTAGAGTCTTAAACTTTCCTCCTAATTTCCAGCTGAATTTATCGGTGGCTAACATTGTTCCACAATTTAAATGGCTCTTTTCTGACTTACTAGTCATATAAATGTGTATTTAGAGATCGTAATTACAAAGGCATTTATCTTAGAAAAAAAGAGTTCAGTTACATGAGACTTATAAATTAAATACTTTTCAGATTTTTGAACCAAACTTTTATTATTTACCTTTGCCTTCCACATCAACCAAAATTTGAAAATGTCCACATGTCGACCACACTGTATTGCCTTGTCTCCAGTGTCATAGGATACATCATACTGTTTGTCTGGCTGGAAGAGATAGCCTGCACACATTTGATTGCAGCCTTGAAGTATACCCTATAATGAAAAACATGTACTTAAAACAAATGGCGTATGTGCATAAGAAAGTGTAATCATTAATGATACATGATAACTGCATTTTGAATATATACAGAAGAATTGTCCCTGAGTAGTCATCTGGTTTTACATACCCACACACCCACACCTGGAAAAACATTCTCAGATTAATACGGATTCTTAGCTTTTGATACTTTGCCCACTTCACTTTGTAAGGCTATGTTTTTAAGACTTCAATTTTTGATGAGTTAAATTACACACTGGAATAAAGCTATGGTCTCTTGTGCAGCTGACAGGTACAGAAAATTATTTTTTAAAAAGAAAGAAAGTGAAGGCTTCAACTTTATATATTGCCCAGCTTTACGACACTCAAAATTGTGATAAATATAAATACAAATGACCTAAACCAGACATTTTTTGCTTACAAATAAGCATGGTCCACAGACCAATAGAAACCTATGGATTATTGGTAAACATCTCTGAAGCAAACACAAAGGAACAAATTCTTGTATGTTACACAGAAGTCTTAAACATGGGACAGTTCTAAAATGGTTTGCATCTCCTCTATACTCTGTTAGTCATTCTTGGAAGCTCAAAGACACTGGTTTATTTAATAAATATAAAAACACCTATCAAAGTTCTCATACAGAGAATAAAATATTTTGCCAAAATCCTGCAACATTGAGCACAATAAGCATGCATGGCACTAAATAACGGCTAGTGTTTATCTCCAATAAATGTCAAAGTGTTTTATAAAGGGAAATAAATGCCTTCAGTTTAGAGATGGGTCATCCTGAAGAGCAATGGCAGACCTAGGGCTGGAACTCACAACTGCTTCATCCCTATGCACAGGGACCACTTTGACTAGCCTCTTCTAGTAGCAATTGACACGACAGAAATTAGTAGACACTAGAATTAGTCTTATCTACAGATGATATGATTTTTTTTATCATCTAAGGAAAATACATATTGCTTAAAAGAATTAAGACTTGAATTGAGAAACTCTCAAAAAACTAAGAGAAAAACAATTGGTTTTTATTCAAGCAGTTTAGACTGTGACTAATTACTAAGACCAAGGGTCTATGTTCAGTATATCATAGAAACAACAGAGCAGATGATCAGATGAAGTATAGTAGCATCGCTCTAGTGTTGCTATTAGAATATGCAAAATAAATCAACAACTAAAGATCTAATAGAGCTTAAAAAAAAAAACACCCCCCAAAAAAAAACACCCACCAAATCAAAACTGAAAAAAAAAATTCCTAAACAATGCAAATCCACACAATTACTCCTTCCAAAATAAGTTTTGAAATTCAATGGATTTTGCACAACCCTCTTAAAAAGTAGGGCTTGATATTTACTTTTTAATTTTATTTTTAACTGCTTAATTATTAAATATAAGGCAGACCTTCTCCCGGACAAGAATGGCAGAACATTGTAACAACACTCCCATCATCTTGTGTGGATTCCAAGTAACTGAGTTGGCTCTGCAAAAAAATTTCACATTCAGATAGGTCTGGAAAACAGAAACTGAACCTGAAGCAATCTTTGCTTTCTGCTTTCAGCTGGAAATATATGGAGTTTTGACCATGATGGTTTCACTAAGGAGATTGTTACTGTCTCAGGTGTCTCACTTCCCAGCTGTACTGTCCAGGAAAGGATCTTTTCATGCATTACTGCTGAAATGTCAGACTTCTGATTAGTTTATATTATTACTAATACCAGTTAATTAGTGTCAGACTGATTAGACTTCATTCCCTGAAGACTCCACTTCTAGAAATAGCACTAATAAAATTAACAAAACCAGTTTGACAGGTTGTATCAATTTAAGGTACTGAGTGGGGGAGGGTCGTGTCAGAAAATTAAGGAAATAATATGAATTTTTGGAGAACACAGCTCTTTACTGAACAGCTGCTGGAAAAGTAGAAAGCAAAGGAAAAGACACTTCTCATGCCTATTCACTTTCCCAGTTAAAGCCACAAGAGGCCTTTTCTGTACTAGCTTGTCAAGCCCATGGTCTGTTAAGAGGCTGTAAAACTTTGCATCACGATCCTACCATTCGGTATGTAAAGCTTAAATCTTTCTAAACACAGTAGATGCATAAGATCACTTAATTTACTAACCAACCAGATGAGATTCTGTATTTTTAACATAATGTCCTAGACAGTTTAATGATGATGCTAAAATAAATGTGCCAACATTGCACATTCATTGACTTCTTCGGCCTAAGTAATTAATTACCAAATGCCCTTTTGATTCACTGTGTGTTCCAGAAAAGGAAAGTGTATAATCATATTTCATAGACTATGCATGTGTTCTTACAATGTGGTTGAAAGAAAATTCAAAGGTACTTCTGCCTCTTCTACACCCTGCTCTCAGAAGACACAGACACAACGACAGTTTCTCTCTTTTGAGCAACACAATGACTCCTCCACCCCTGTTCAAGGACCACTAATTCCATACATTCCAGCTATGATTCCAACCTCTATCTGCACTAGGATAGGCTGCAGCACCCCTCAGCCAAAAGAACAGCACAGTGTGTGCTATACGTGGTGAGTTCACCACCCCTCTAAAATCTCCTGCTTAGGCAGGGCAATGCAGCAAGTACATAGCTCAGACTTAGGAAGCAATTATCGTTTTGGAAACTTAACTAATAGGTCAAATATAGTAGTGAAGAAACAGGAATTTATGTAAAAGCTCATTTCCTTTTGAGAGCACTATGTTTTCAGTTTCGTGCATTTATTTCACTTTCAGGGTTCCAAACAAAGACAATTCAAGTTTTGGCAAGGAGCATTAGGTTTATTTTAACACGAAAAGGTCACTCTCTGCTCTGCGCAGCCAGCCAGAGGCTATCTACCACAGACCATCCCCGCTCTGCACCGTGGCAGTCTGCTTGTACAGACACCCGCGTCTCTGGGCAGACCAAGTCTGGCCTGAGTGTAGGCAGTAGACCCAGCTGAGCCCTGTGACAGGCAATTATGCAGTACCGGTGGGTCCCTTTCCATGTTTGAAGATCTATACAGCTGCCTAGGAAGGAAATAATACCACACTTCATGGCCTGCTGCTTTTTGTATTTGCTTAAGATGATGGTCTTAATCAGCACCCCTGAATTGACCTCAGGTCAAAAGAGGTGTGCCTAACTGCTGCCATCAAAGCTGTGTACCTTAAGGAAGTTGCCATGCTGACCTCATGTTAGACATGTTGCCATAACACGAGTGACTAACAAATTGAACTGGCAGAGGTTTGTATGATTCAGAGTACGCCTGCCACAATGCTGCCCCTGCAACAGAAGGGTCTGCATGGTTTTCCTACCATTCCTTGTGTACATTATTGTTCACCTTGTGCTTGTTTTTCACTTACTACATGAGATGACCATCACTAGGAAAGTTTGTTTTCCCTAAGGAAAAGCAATGCTCACTGTTTTCATTTTACACCTTTACACATGCCCACGTTCAGTACAGTTGACTTGAGGAAACAGTTTGGTGTCACTGTGAGAGTACATGAGCAGAGCTTGTTTCAAATCTTTTTTTTTTGCTTCCCTGGAAGCTGGCACCTGCAATGATAGGAAAGATCTTATGCTTCTGGTTCTTCATGGCTTGTCTGATTGTTATTCAGACAGGCAGTCTGTTACGATAGAGTGGTTTCAGAGGAAATCTAGAGAAACACACCCATGGGGTTATAAACACTTCTACAGTCTACAGCCTTGTCATCATTGGATATGGGAACAACTGTGCCAAAGACTACACATGGGACTTCTAAGCCTGAATTGTAAGGCCTGGGGCAAGGGAGGAGGGTCACACTCACACTCTGCTTTCACTTCCAATACAAATGCTTTGCCTTTTTAAATTTGGTTCAATTAATTATTTAGGCTGACTTCTGGTCTCAGTGGGCATCTTGGTAACCTGGGTTACTTGCCTGGGGGCAAACATGCACTCTTTTCTGCAGATTTCACTCTGGCCTCTACAAGAGCTTCCTGCTTGTTTTGTGGAATCCCTACCTGGCACCAATTCATACGGCCCTGTGCCCTGCGACACAGTGAGTATCTGTGACTTCATGGCCTCCCTGTAAGTTCCCTCAGTCCTCTGACTGGCACAGTAGAGCTGAACCAGTTCGGTGCTATCATAGTCCTTTCCAGCCTCATAGGTACTGTAATTTGCCTAAAAATTGCTGCTAGTTCAGCCTCTATCATGTGTTACTCTCTTTGTTGTACACACATGTATGATTTTGTGTGTGTGTATATATACAAGCAATACAAAAGCAAGCATATATATATATATAAACTTTCATTTACAGGACACTCATTTTCAAACAGAACATACATGTTATTTTCTGGAAACAACTGCAAACATCTTTCAGGGGAGAATCTCTACCAATTCCCACCATGTCATGAGTTCCTACCACATGTATTCACACTCAAACACCTTCCCTACATTTCAGACACTGTCTAGCTCTCACACTTTTTCCTCAGATTCTCCTTCATGTAATCCTAGACTTATGGCCCTTTCAAAACTATTCATAGAACAACCTCCCTTCCTTTTTGCCAAGCGATATCCTTGTCCTCCTTCAAATCTGCTGAAAACTTACCTTTCACTCCTCTGTACATCACTGTTTTCTTCTGTAGCATTGTTTCAGTCTTCCTAGTGTGAACCTTCCCCGTCTGTCTTGCTTTTGTCTAATTTGGTGTTTAAACTTAATGCAGCAAATTCATCTTTTGGTGAATTTGTGAGGTGACATTTATCTTATGAAAGTACTTTAATAATAGTATTACAAATAAGCATCATGTAGTACCTTTCTATTCCATTTAATTTATGACGATGCTTTCGGGACATTAAGAGTCCACCTCCCCAGGCAGCCTGGAAGAGAGAGAAACAAGAGAAGACTTATTGTTTTGGAAAAGCCTAACACAGAATCATAGAATCACAGAATAGTTAGGGTTGGAAAGGACCTTAAAATCATCTAGTTCCAACCCCCCTGCCATATTTTAATTTACTCAGGATCTAGTAATAAATAAAAATAAACTTTAATTCAGGACAAAACATATGTAAATAAAAATCCTCTTTTGCCTGAATAGCACTTCATTTAGTTACTTACATCTACGTGGAGCCAGAGGTTATATTTTTCACATATATCTGCAATCTCTTGTATTGGATCAAAGGCTCCATATACTGTTGTGCCTGCAGTTGCATTTACAAAAAGGGGAACGTATCCCTACAATAAAAATGAAAACATTAAATACAAAATTCAGCCTCTTTCAGGAAAAAGAATAAATGTGAAACACTTGTATCCCATTTTCCAGCCTAAAAGTGCTTTTCTTCCCATGTGAAAGTTAAATATAAGCAACAGTAGAAACTAACAAGTTGTATATGTGGTAGAAAAAATCTCTGGGTTTATTGTACTGTAACATCACAAAATTAACCAGTCAGAAGGTAAAGAATATTATTTTGTCTAATTTCCTTCAGTAAGAAGATTCAAACATTTCAGTAGAAGACCAGGAATAGTCAAGAAAAGTTGAGATTTTACAGTCATAAAAAGGAAAATTAATTGTGATATGCAAGTTGTGATTTGAAGGCTTGAAATTATTCCTTTAGCCTTTATCTAATAAACAGAACAAATCAAAACAAAGCAGTCCAAACCAAAAGCAATAAATGCGGAACTATCTGATGATGTGAGACAATTTTGAATTAGATTAAATAAATGTGAACTGCAATTTCATAGAGTGCCCAAATGTAAAGAAGTTAAGAAATAAAATAATAGTAACCTTGACTGCTCTAACTTTGGTGGGTTTACACAAAATTAAAGGATTTTACATTGCATCAATTAAGGAATTAACAATAATGTCTCAATAAAAATAAACTTACTGGCTATATTTTACTAACCCTGCAACCTCATACTTGAAATCTATGGGCATTTTTAGGACTTCAATAGAGTCTTTCATGATTTTGGCTAAACTTTAAAGTTTGGGTAAAAGTAGGTTTAGTTTCATGTTTAGTTTTGTTAGTTTTCATACTTTCTTTTATATGTTTCCATACAAAGTTATTTCTAGAAGTCAGAAATACAGATGTGGCTCAAGAGTTTAAAATATGTTGGTTTTACACAGCAAATGGAAACCTTAGCAAGACATACAGATAGTTCCCTAATCAATATGTGATGTATAATTAAGCAGCTAAAAATATTACTATAATATTTATATCATTATAATTTTCGCTTTTAATGTTAACCTTGAACCTTCAAAGGAAGAAGTACTTTTACTAAGCCAGGCATTTAAAGCCACAAACCTTTTGTTTTGCTTCCAAAATTTTTGCTTCCAAATCAGCTGGTATTATTTTGCCTCTGTAATGATTACAGAAAGAGAAAGATAAAGAGAATTAAAGACTGCATATAGAAATACTAGCTGCAGTTGAAATAATTTTATAGTATTTTCTCAACAGGCCATTAGCGACTTGGCATACTGTACTGAATCAGTTCTTAAGCCCACTACAACAAATTTAACAGATGAACACATTTAATGTATCAAAACCTTAGCATTCATCCTACCTTTCATTGCATTTTATCAAAATCACATTGTCCGTTCCAAATCCAAGTGCAGCTCCGGCTTTCTTTATTGAGTAGTGACTCTGCAGCAAAACATACACACATTTAATAGAGTGGTTGTTTAATGATGAAGTATCTTCACAACACACAGCAATAAATTAAGAATTAGCAGTGTATGAAACTCACGTGTTCTGAGGTAAAGAGAACGAGTTTAGGGACTGCAGCCATGCCTTTGGTTTTAACTTCAGGGAAATACTTGTAGCGTGCGGCCATTATACTGTACATGTTGGAGATTGCTCCTCCTGTGAGTAAATACGTGAATGAATAATAAAATAGTGATAATGAGAAAAAATGCATATTAGACCAAAGACATACAAGTCTCATTTGCATTATGCAGTGAAATTGGTAGTGAACTATGAAAAAATAAATCTATGAAATGCATGGTCATGTCTCTAGAAAGTCACACTGAGAGTCAGAATTTCCTATTCATCATCTCTTTTTACTGCTAACATTTTGCAACACATTCCTAGAAAGTTTAGCTTTCGTTGTGCTGCTTTTGCATGACAACTTGTTAGCAGGAATAACAGGAACTTATCAAATTGTCTGAGAATGAAGAAATGTTGCATACTGGATGGATTTATGCTATCTCACTGTAAATATAAAGTAGATGCCTCAAAATTGTATTTCTACAGCCAAGCTTTCCTTACAGTTGGTTAAGGGAAAGCGACGCTTTGATGCTTTTCAGGCTATGATTCAGCTAATCTGAATTTGACAATGACTTTTGAAGAATCTGAACTGAGGGAAAGCATCTATTTCATTTGCTTCACTGCCAAAAATTGCCCAGGAAAATTAGCTCAGTTCCACAATACAGACCTCAAGATTTGGTAAGATGAATCTCATCCAGAAAGTCTAGGATAACTTCTTCCTCTAATATTTCTTCATCCACAAAAACACTGAGAAACATCTGTACGTTTTTAGCAGATGGGACTGAAGACCAAGCAAGTGTGCATTCCTGGATTTTATGTGGGCTGTTCCAAAAGGATGTGGAACTGTCCTTCTTCCTCTGAAATAGGATGGTGTCCCTCCTACACCATATCCAGAAACCTGAAGCTGTGATGGGCACCCACACTGTCTACACATGGGCCCAGGACTTCCACATGGTTTACCAGGCTTTTCTGTTGCTGCTGACTGCCTTTGTACCACCTTCATGGTAAGACACTTTATCTTGGTTCTTCATATTAGAATCACACTTGTGAATTCAGTCAGATGATGTCCCAGATACCATGTCACAGGCAATCACAATATTTTTCTGACTGTAAGCTCAAATCCTCACTAACCAAAGAAGTCAGCACATGATTCCCAAGAGCTATTGACCAGCAGGAATCGTGGTTGCTCAGCACCTCCAGAAAATCAGTCCAAAATAAAGGGTGCTTAAATGCTTAACTATATACCAGAGCTTGTAGTCAAGTGTTAAAATGTTGACCAGCCATGATACATAGCCATACTCAAAGATGGTTTTTTCCTCAACTTTCCTGTGGGATGTTTAAACAAAGTATTCCTACATCTAAATATATGACACATTCTTTTGTGTTACAGATATGATGAGCATTCAGAAACTGCTTATGCTTATTTTAACTTCTGAAGTTTTAGTTGAATGACCAAAACAGAGAACAAAAACTCACCAGGTGAGAATATTCCATCGCCATCTTTGTTTGACCATCCAATAATCTCTCTCATCTTTCGAAGTGTTATTTGTTCCATGAGGACAAAAACAGGGGCAATTTCATAGGTGAACCTGCACAGATAAAGAAAAAAAACCCAACCAAACAGAATTTAATAGAGATTCTAAAAAACACAATAAATTCCTAGTCTATGATTCTTTTTGAAAATTCTTCAGATTCCTAAAAGTTTTCTTATAAATTGAGGTTCTGGTATAGCAATCACCATCATAGCGCTGCTGATTGTTGTACAAGATTGTACTGTAAAACATTTGTTTCTCAAAGTGCCAATTCCACACTTGTGGAATAACATGCTGCCAAATTCTTATGAAAACAGTGAACTTTGCTGAGCTAAACACAACTGTAATTAGAAGTATTGAACTAGGGCTTCAAAGTCTAAATACAATTAATTATGTGGATTTATTCTGTTGACTATCTTCAAGGACAACTTATTTCTACAATACCATGTGATCGATAACTGTCAAGAGTAATTATAAATGATGATTTTCTAATTACCAATTACTAAAAACAAGTCAGCAGTCAACTATTGTATCCACTTAATGAGGGCAAAACCATTGCGTAGTCTGGTATGCCCTGATGTCACAAAGAGACACATGGATGGAAAGTGACAACCATACAACCATTTTTGGTCATCAAGGTACATGGATAAATTGCTGCTGTTGTAAACAAACTCTGCTTGCTCTGTATACCAAGGGAAAAATAAAAGTAAAAAAGGAGGGGAGGAAAGGAAGCAGGGAGAAACTCAGCAAGCAACCTGTGATTTCCAAAGGAATCTGTAAGAACATGACACCCTGACACTCTGGATCTGATTGATGTCCTCCACTTGAACAATTTTGCCCAAAACACACGTGTTGTCTCTCCAATGTTAAAATGATATTTTACAGATAGGTCTGACAAACTTCAAGAAGAAGTGATATGAGGAAGGGAACGTGTCTGAAAAGCTTGTATTTTACTTACAGCTACACTGGTTAGTTAGAATATTAATTTTTAATTCAACCCTTACATGTCCTTAGTCCATCAGAGAAAATCCTCCACTATTCTTAAAATATTCCTTTAAGTTTAAACTGCATTTGTAATTTAATTGTTGCAACTGCTATTTTCAGAAGCCAAAATGCCTCTTATTTACTTGTATTACCATTAGAACTGTCTGACACAGGCAGCTGAACAACTGGTCTGGAATTTAGGGCTGCCAATAAACCAGTTGGCGTCTGCAAACAATGGTCCCAAGACTGGGACAGATTCCAGTCTTAATTTAGGCAGAATGACCAGGTGAATTCAACAGGAATTCGGTGGTGTCTGGATCACTGCAGCCTAATACAAGACATATTTAAGTCAAGGGGATTTTTTTCCACCAGTTTAAACACATTTTGATTTTTGCCCTGAGACCTTGCATACTGATCCTTACTTACTTCCCAGAAGACTTCAAGGCTTGTACAAAAAAAATACGTAATATTAAATAAGTTTTTTGTATATAAAATATGAAGAATTCACAGGGAATTTTGAATATACCCACAACCAAGTGAAATAGCATTATTTGTTTTATTATGCAATTATTTTCTGAGTCTCCAAACACTGAAAAAGAAACAAAAGAAGACTGCAGATGATTATAAATAAGGCCAATGCAGCTATATTAGATTGCCACTATGATTTTTTAAATCACATCTTGCTAAAGTTCAATTTGACATATTTGCTTTAAACTTACATGATTTTGAAAGAATCAGTTAAACACAGAAAATGTGCTTGGCTTGGAAGAAACTGTCTGACTTTAGAACCTATTCTGACAAAAAATGAGGACTAGATTTTTTGTACTGTTACAACCTTTTCAGGTATTATTATGAGTTAACTAAAACAGTTGTGAGTTTCAGCTCTTTACTAAAAGAATAAATGAACAGATCTTCTGGTAGTGGGCACTGCTATCTTAATTCTGCTCTAATGTAAAGGCCAAACAATTTTACCTGGCCAAATCATACTAGCTACCTGTTCTCCTGTTTGTCAGTATGCAAAAAGCATTCTGCGAATAAACATAAAGTATTTTACATCATTTTCTTATGTTACATCTTAATAAGCACAAATGCTTTATACTGAAAACACCAACATAATGTTGTCAGCTCAGCTAACAGTGGGCATAGAGAACTTCCACATAATATTATTGCTTTCTAACTCAGCTGACTGCTGCATGGTGAGCAAATGCCCTGGACTGCAGATCCCTAGAGCTGGGTGAATAACAGCAACTTCGGAAATTTCCACCCTGAAGGTCTTCTGATTAGTGATTGAGCTATAAATAGCACATTGATACATTATTTCCAAGCCAATGGGGGAAGCTTATTATGTTTTATTTAATGTATTATCTTCACAGTGACATTTAAGTAACATTCCCTAATGCAATTAAAAAACAGAGTACAGGTGTTTTGAGTACTCAAAACATATATTTTTAATTGTTCATTAATGTTTTAAGTAATGCTTATGGGTAGAAAGAAAAAAAGGCAAATGGATAATATTCCCTACCATAATCCAGTGTTAATGTTACTTACTTGTGTTAAATGAAAAAGGTTACGACAGTTTCTAGGTAAAGGTCAGAACTTGTTTTTCTGTGCTGGAACAGTGGTCAAAACAAATAATATGTTTCCCAGAGCTCACAGAGATGATTTGGCTATTTTTAATAACCTTCTCTGTCAGTTCTTCGAATCATATTTTATGACATCTTGCTTTAGTCTTACTTGCAATTACTGTGTTATTTAAAATCATATCGTGTTGACCTTGGTTTGCTGAAAAAAAAGGAGAGGATGCATTAAGAGGTAAAAGAGGCTGCGTGGAGACTTCAGCAGCCTTCCAGTATCTGAAGGGGGCCTATAAGGATGCTGGGGAGGGTCTTTTCATTAAGGGACTGTAGTGACAGGACAAGGGGTAACGGGTTAAAACTTAAACAGGGGAAGTTAGATTGGATATAAGGAATAAATTGTTTACTGTTAGGGTGGTGAGGCACTGGAAGAGGTTGCCCAAAGAAGTGATAAATGCTCCATCCCTGGCAGTGTTCAAGGCCAGGTTGGACAGAGGCTTGAGCGGCAAGGTCTAGTGTGAGGTGTCCCAGCACATGGTAGGGGTGGTTGGAACTAGATGACCTTAAGGTTCCTTCCAACCCTAACTAGTCAACGATTCTATGATTATATTGCATTGGCTATACCTCATACAAGCAAACAGATACTTAATTTTCATACTCTAGAGAAGCATTTTTAAGATACATGCAAGATAAGCATAAATGTATCAGAAACCAGCTTTACAACACTAGCTATTTATCAGTTCACTTTTTAAACCAAACAGGAAAAAGTGACCTCATTTTAAAAAGAGAAGTTACTCTTCAGAAGTGAGTTCAATTTTCTTAATAATGATGTCAATATTTCATAATACAACCACAGTCTGCCATGTAGCTGAGTTCCATTATGTACTATGGATTTGTACAATTGATTACAAAAGGATAACTAAGCTAGGATGACTAAGTCAAAAAAAAAGGGCTTGCAAAAAGTGACATGCCCTGAAGTATGTTTTAGTCATGGAGGGACAATATATAATCAGTTTTCTTTTAGAAATATAATCAGATTTGTTTTCACACTTTAAAGCACTTTGCAAAACTTATTTTACAATTACAATATATATTGCTGGGGTTTCTTCCCAATCAACTTTTAAATCTGAATATCGCATACCAATTTTTAGTGACCAGAGAACTAACTGAGAAGAGGATTATGAAGAGCAAGCTAGTTTTGGCTGGAGGACCTTCTGTATTTTTTTTATATTGCTATTGTCACAAAACAAGCACAGCTTATCATCTACACAGAGCTGCTAGTAATCAACTATATTTAATGAACCTTATACTTATGGATGGGCCAGTGACAATATTATTGTCCTCCCCATCTGCAGATACTTTTCCTGTGTTCAGCCAATTAGCAACAAACAATACAGAGACAGCTTTAGAGTTAAAACACATCCAATACAGGACTAAAACAGAGCAATCTGTTACCTGACCAAGTATTTGGACTCTGATCATATTTTTTTAGCATGCACAAATATAATTAAATATATAAATAAAAACTGGCTAGGTTTTTTGTGTTTGGTGGTGTGGGGTTTTTTTTTGGGGGGGGGGTCATTAATTACACTCTGCAAAAAAAACAGCATAATACATTACATTTATATCTAGCTTTCATTCATTTTGAGGTCAAGAAAAATTAGGGAAAGTTTCTGAGACTCATAAAATCATATAATGGTTTGGCTTGGAAGGGCTCTTAGAGATCATCTAGTTCCAAACACCCCTGCCATGAGCAGGGATACTTTTCACTAGACCAGGTTGTTCTAGGCCTCATCATTATGTTCTAGATGTAAAATTTAACTTTTTAATACTTCCATTTATTTATTTATATACAATTTTAATAAATCTTAGACTAGTTCCTTCATTATCATCAAATCAATTTTCAATGGTACATTTTAAATCCTTTTGAAGACACCCAGAAGCTGCAGAATTACTCAGTCTAGAGACAAAGCTTTAACAAGAAATCAGGAAAGAATAAAGAAGATTGGTCCAATAGAAGAAAAAGTCATTTCATGTGATTATATTAGAATCATCATATTTAACTTACCATGTGTTCTGGGATATTTGCATTTCTGTTGATCAGAAATGTGAAACCGTTCACCTTTATTGAACAGTTTTCACTGCATTGCTGCCACATTAAGAAAAATAGGAGATGCTTTTATTGAAGAAGCAGCAACTGTCACTTACAGAAGAAAATCACACAGGTCTGTGACAATGCACATCTACCATGATAGCTGGCAGCCCCAGCGAGCACAGCTCAAAGACGCTGACAAGAAGATACTGCTTACATGTTCGTATTAGCAGTCGATGTCAGCCACTCCCCGGCCAGGCCAATGATGTCCAGCCCTGTGGAGAGCTGATTGAAAAAGCGAGGATGACCTGCAAACAGAATTGAGAGCAACTTAGAGCAACTCCACCGGTAAATGTCAGGTTTCAGAGTTAAAGCGTCCAACCATTCTGACACAAACCATAGCTTTGCAGCTGTGACACACTCGTAGAGAGGTTTTCAAAGCAAGTCCTGCTTACGGGGAGACCGTTAACGGTCTTGTTCAGAACTTGAAAAGCCACTTGGGAAGGAGCTCCTGTATGGAATCATTAGCGTTTAAATTAAAAGACAGGACCCAGGAGCCGACTGAGCCCGTGAACACCTTCAGAACCCGTGCAAGGGCTAGCCCAACTCCAGAGCCGCCCGTCCCGACCGAGAAATCGAGCTGTCAGAGGGAGACAAGTGGAGGGTGTATTTGGCAGTGACAGTTTGCGGGGGCTGGGATCATTTGCATCTGAATAGTGAGAAATGGGAAGTCTCAGAGCTGGTACAGAGGCTGCCTGGTACAGGAGGGGTGCGGAGGAGCCGGTCCCCTGCTGGTACCTTAGAGGGGAGGAGGAAACTGTCATGATTTAGCCCTCGCCTCAGCTCTCTTGGGAAAGGACATGCAGATGACACGCTGGGGACAGCCCAGTCCGAGCGCGGGGTCAGCGCTCGACGCCCGGAGGGACCCTGTCACGTCGCATCTGGCTCATCATGGGGAACATCAGCATCATTTGACATAAAGAAATAAATGCAATTCTGCTCCCAGCGATGTCAGAGGGGACTTTTGGAAGCGTGAGCCGGCCGGCGCTGCCACGTCCCGGCGCATCCTGAAGGGGATGTTGCCAAGGAAACTGTGGGACATGGGGAGGACGGGGGGAAGCGGCCAGGCTGCTCTTATCCCGGGAGCCAAGCAGTTCAGGGCTGGTTCCACAGATACCACTTCCCTCCCTCACCATGACACGCAGTTTGGGAAGCTGACATTTCGCTGACACCCCCCAAAGCCGTCAACGAGCCTGCCGTCTCTTGAGGCTGGGCAGCAGACTCGGGTCCGCTGGCTTCAGAGGGAGATTAGCCCGGAGAGAGAACGTGAGCCCGGGAAGCCAGGGTGTGTGTCCTGGGCCATCACACGGCCCGGGCAGCTCTCCTTTAAAGCTGCACCAGGTGCTGCTTTGAACAGAGCTTATGAGAGACGGGACACCTGTACCTCAGCTCCGGGGGATGGGTCCGGCCAGCCCCAAGAAAGTTCCAGGGAACAGATATCGGGATAAGCTACAACTGCCTGGCCAGAGGCGGGCAAACAAAAGCCTACCGCTACAGCTCCCAAGCAGCACTTGCCGAGCCGAGCAGCGCCGAAGAGGGCAGCTCGCCGGGCAGAGCTCAGCAGCCCTCAGACGCTGGAGCAGGACTGAGGAGGGCAGGCACGGCCTCCACTCCGTTACCGCTCCAATTCCCGACATGTTTGGTTAGGGCTTTTTGCCAGCCGAGCTTTTTGCTGATATATGATTAAACATTTCAGGCCCAAGAACCTGAAAGAGCACAGACTTTGCTCTAGAGCCCGGCTCACCCAGCGAAAGATTATAAAGGGGCATTTCTATCTGATTCAGAAACACCTGGACTTGGGGGGCTCCTGGCTAATGGGCTGAAATCCACAGGGTTCCTTTTATTGATGATTCCTAACATTCCAGTCTATTTTTCATTAAATGTCTCGTGAACATAACTGCAAATTCAGTGTCATTTATGCCCTCATTTACCTAATGATATTGCTCCCCAGAGATACAGACAGCTCGCATTTCATCAAGTGAAAGAGATTACATCTTAAAAACTTGTTTCTGGGCTCTGCAAACAGCACTGAGCCCTGGACACCGGGGATGGATGGAGTATCAATAACTTCAGTTTCTGAGCAGAGACCTTTTCAAGCGCCTGCAGACAGCCCTGGGCCTGAGCCTCCAAGGAGGCAGAGTAGAAGGCATGGAGAGAATGCTGGCTCCCTTTACTGTGGGCCAGAGAAAAGCCCCTGGAGAGACTGTCCAGTGTGAGAAAACCTACCTGTCCTCACTCCGTATTTCAGCGTGTCCCGGCAGTCCACCAGGATCTGCTCCAGGGACTCCGGGTTGTCCGACAGCTCTAAATTGAAGCCCTCCATACCCTCCAGGAGCTGGTGCGGGTGGTGGAAGTCCAGCACTTTGGTGGATCTATCAAATGTCTTCCTCACGTAGTTGAGGAGGATGTCCACAACCTCCAGCAGGAACTGCATGGTCTGTTCCTCGCCATTCTTGGAGGGCAGCAAATCTACGGGATAAACCAGCTGTCAGCGCCTGCTTTGGGAGCGAGAGCTGGAGATGAAACTGCCTCGGCCGCCTGCAGGATTGCCAGGACCTGGGTGGCAGCCGCGGCCCCTACGCAGGCTGTAGCGGGGCGGGCGCTTTGCTCCGCTCCTTCCCCGGCGAAAAGAAACACGCCGCTGTCCCGGGGTGCTGCCCCTGTCCGCGGTGGGGAAGGGTGAGCCCAGGTTGCCTACGGGAACAGCTGGTGCACCTCCGAAGCACCCTGGCAAGAGTATGCCCTGCAATGCTACCTCTGTGAGGGGGGCAAAAGCACCCCAAACCCCAACTGCCCTTCTCCTGCACCGCTTCCCCCCGCCACCCGCGAAGGGATCCGTTTCACTTCCCCACCCTCCTGGTCCAGTTCCAGCAATCACAGTCGGCTTCTCTGCTATTTTACTGAGGAGGAAGCACAATATTAAACGACTCTCCTCCCGGAGGCTAGATCTGGAATGACCCCAGAGGAACAGCTGGAGCTGAGCTGCGAGAGATCAGCTCCTATAACGGGAAACTGCATTTCAAGAAACTTTTACACATCTCCAGGGCGGCTGTCAGCAAACAGGCACCCAGAGCCTCATTCAAAAACAGCCAGGCCAAATCACGGGCTGCACCTGGCTACGCTTCCAAGGGAGGTGAGGACAGACTGCTAAGGGACGTGCCTGAGCTGGAGCAAGCAGAAACTATGAGTGTTTACCTCTGGCATACAAATTGGAGAAGTCTGTCTCGGTACGCCGGAACCTGGATTCCTTCTCGCACGCCAGAAGGCTCTTGGAGGACTGCCTTTCCTTCAGAGAGCTGACGATCCGGCTCTTGTCTTCCAGGCTGTTGGTCCTTTGCAGGAACCCTACATTGTTATTGCAAGGTGCACAGGTCAGAGTTTTCTCACTTCCTAACATGCCGAAATACCCAAAGCAGCTCGCTAGACAACGTTTCTAAGCGGTGTTGGCTCTGAATCTGACTAACGAGGTCAGGAATAAGAGTATTTATGGGGATTATTTGCCTCAAGGAGGGAGAGCTCAAAATGCCATCAACTGCAAAAACGCAGCCATGCAAAAAAACAAATTTTCGTCATTTAGTGCAGTGGTAAATTCTTATTAAGTCGATCAGACAGATTCCACTTCAGTAACCAGCCACTGGAAGAGAGTTCAGGATGAGTCAATGCTATTTCAGCCTGCAGGCGAAGTTTATGGACCTAACAGGGGCAATGATGTATGATTAAAATCAGGGCCGCTTTCAGTTCTCATCGTGCTCTCACGCACAAAAGGCAGGAGAAGGAACAGCCATTCCGGAGCAGCCGCCCTGAGAGCGCCAGAGCTCTGAGCGGCGCTCACCAACACCACTTCCCCGCTATCCGTACCTACCGGCACGTGCCCAGGAGACACGGATTTTCCACCTGGAAAGATGCTGTGGTACAAAGACCGATCACGCCCGAGGTGCCAGGAGCTCCATTCTCACCGGAGACGCAGCCCTGGCGCCCAGGAGGCGATCACAACTGCTGTTGTATGTGCAGCGGCAAAAATAAATCCCTTCACCCCCAGAAATAGGGCGGTGGGCGCCACGCAAGGCTTATGGCGAGTAACGAGACCAGACCACTTTAACAAGGCAGGGAAAACATTTCGTTTTCAGCATCTGACCCATTAAACCCATGCCCATTAAAGAATGCATAGCGTCGGGCTTTTCTTTATGAACGAAGGCATCAGATTTTGACTTCCCGGGCTGCAGCGAGCGTGCCTGAACCTGTGGAGGAGACGGAACGGCAGCGCCAGCCTCTTTTTCCTTATAAAACAAGTCGCAACTGAAAGCAACGCTCGTCGCCGCTGGGGACATTTGCCAGAGAACTTTACGAGGAAGGAAACCAACGCCGTAACTCCGTTCACCCTCTTCCCGCGATGCTGCTTCTCTCCAGCACACTCTGATTCCCAACCAAACGCTCCAACCTTCCGGAGCCCCGACAGCGACCCGGGACTGCGGACCTCTGCAGCCGGACACTGAGCTGCTGGGCCCATGTCCCTACTCAAAAGGGAGTCCAAATGCGTCTCCAGGAGGGCAATTCACAGGCCGGTTTGTCAAGCCCAATCTTTCAGTGAACGTTCCACATTTTGCATTTAAGTATTGATCTACTGATTAGTTTCTTTTTACGATGCATTTAGGAATACGACTTACAATAAAAACTCTCTTCTTGCGTGTTGAGCAGGTGTCTAGGATCGATTACGTTTGTTACTGCTTTAACGGCCCTTGCAGTGACCACTAGCTCCAACAGCTAGGAGGACCGGCTGCTAGGGAAGCAGGTTCGGTCTAGACTGAATTCCGGCAGGATCCTCTTGCCCCAGCTCCTGTGGCTTCAATTGGCTTTCTTTTTCCATTTGTCTTTCTTTTAGGCTCCAGCAGGCGATGCTCAGCGTGAAGAATTATAGAAGAGACCACCACAAGCACAGGAGAGCTCCCCGCCGCGCAACCGCTGCCCTTCTCGGCGCGCAGACAAGCATCCTTCGGAGGCTTCGGTGGAAAAGGAGCGTGTAGCTCCTCGGTAACAGAGAACTGCTGCAGCTGCCTCCGGTTCGGCCTCAGAAAGGCCGGGGCTTCCCTGAAGGGTCTGGCCTAATCAGAGCCACACCAAGGAGGCAGCGGTGGCAGCACGCTGGGCCACTGAGCCCATCCCTCGCTCAAAAGACTTAGCGGCGGTTCTTCCCGCGGGGTCTCCCGGCTCCATTATTATGTACAGACGTCGGCGGGATCAGCTGGGGCTCGGAGCGGCTTCACACGGGACCCATCAGACCGCGGATGCGCGCGCCCGACAGTGGGGCGTCTCCAGAGCCCTGAAGGAGGAACTTGCTGCCGTCCGGCACCGGCTTGCTCGACCATGGATAATACGTGCTCGCCCAGGTCCCTCGGCCACATCAGTACCTCAGGGACCTGGAGGCTCCGGTACATGCGGAGCCCGGCGAGGACCTTCCTGTTCCTGGCTTTTCCCCTGAGATAGAGGCCGCTTCCCAGCGCAGACCCGCGCCCGGCTGTGGGGCAGCGCTGCAGTCCGCCCTCTTGGGATGGGATCCCTGACTGCCGCGGCAATCGGCTTCATCCGTATCCCACGTGAAAAGTAAGGTCAGGGTAGGAGAGATCTACCAAGTAGCAGCTCCTGAAACAGCAACTGCGCTGCTTGTCCTGTAGCAGCGGGGAGCGCAGCCTTTCCCGGAAGCCGCCATCTCCCGCAGGTGCTCCAAAGAGAGGAATTCTTAGCGATCCGCTTTAAGAGGCCGAGTTTTTAAAAGCCGACTGAAACAGGCTGGTGAGGAGGTTTCTCGGTCTTCAGCGTGACCACAAATCCGGCGTGACTTCAGTTCAGCCTCGCAACTCTGCGGGGGCGCCGAGCCAGCTTCCGCGGCAGGAATGGGCCCGCCCGGCCCTGGTGCACGTCGGTGGCAGCTGCAGGAGACCCCGGTGCCCTCAGCGTCGTAAATCCGACTGACTCCGCAGAGGAGCCGAGTTTCTAACCTACATGGCTGCTTTTGAAATCCCTCTTCCTGCGTTGCTCGCTTCAGCCGGGAACCATCAGCTGCCCGGGCCGAGCAGCTGAAGACGCACCTGAGCAGTTTTCCACTATTTCCACTGGCGCCGAGCACATGCCAGCAGGATTGGTCCAAAGAGCAGCAATAGTTGTTGGGGTGGGAGTGAAAGGTGTAGCGAGCAACTCCAGGCACAGGGGGAAACCTGGCCGTACTTCGCGTGCTGTGACAGTTCATTAAACCCCTTTAAAATATGTTTCCTTTTAAGCGGATGTGCAGAGACGAGCAGCGTGGGGGTGTGGCAGCGGCTGGGTTCTTTCTAGACAGTGGCCTTCAACCAGAAAGTAAAAAAGCTAATCAAATCGGTCAGTTCGAGAAGAATTTACACCTTGGATATGTAATTACCGAAAACGTCAACCCCCTAATATACAACACAGGTGGAAGAACGGACTCATTGTTCAAGACCTGCCTTGTCGCTGAGCTCAACCCTTATTTAGTTTAAAATGAATCGATTTCTGTGTGATACACACAGCAAGAACAATTCCGAGGCGCCTGATTTACTATAGCTTTGTGTCTGAGCCATATTTAAGGTCCTGAATGATGCCTTATGAAAGGTAAGGACGAGGGGATATCTGTAATAGTCAAACGTCGACTGGTTTAGCATGTTTAATTAGGGTTCCTGGCAACCTTAATGCTTGTCTCATCTATTTACCAAAGGCAACCTTCCCTCTCTGTGAAGGTGTTACAGATTCAAGTGGGAGGGCTCAGACGAGCGAATCCAGTGGTCGCGACCGAATGTGATCATTCTCAATACACAATCACTAATGTGTGTACTCTTCGCGCAAAACAGCGGGGGAAAAAAACCCACAACAGCCAGCAAGGGAAACCAGAGCCAAACCCACAGCAGCCCTGCTTGTTTTGAACTCCATCACACTGCTTCTACTGCACTCTGTCTCAGATCCAAAATGGTGGGATATTTCATTTGCAGTGTATTTGAGTCCACCGGGCGAAACCGCTCTGTCCCTCCGTAACCCTGGTAGTCTAGCAACACGGAACAAGCCTAACGGCGCGTTACTTTATCAGTTCTGCTTGCCGGGCTAAATTAAAACGATGATGAAAAAGCCCATCGCTACAGCCACTGACTAGGCTGGTAGTGAAACGGTCCATTAAACCCGGATCAGGAGCTATTTATAGAACTTAGCCACTACTCGTTAATGTCGCCTGCGGGTACCAATGAAATCGCTAATAGACACAGGGCTAAACGTTCCCAGCCTGGTTCTTTTCCAGTCCAAACTTCCAGGTAACAAAATGTTTAGCGAATGAGCTTCGACTCAGGCAAGTAGGGCAAGAGGTTTAAATATATCTTGGCTTTGAAAAAAGGCCCGTTTCTCCCACGGACTAATTTCCCACCCCCCAAAAGAGAGAGCTGAGGAAAATGGGAAATAATTGCTATTCATAAGGGGCAAGGGCTACGCGGAACAATTCTGCCCGTCACAAACTGAAGATTTGACTGTCTCTGAAAGTGAAGGCGCTACTGAGAAATCTGAAGACAGCTTGTTATCTGCAAATGAATCTCTTGCTATAACGTTGCGATCTGATTGTGCATTTGTTTTCCTTCCTGCATTTCAGTGTCTGCGCGCTGACTGGCTGCCAGCGCTATCTTACCAGCACAGCAAGCTGACGAATTGCTCTTTAATAAGGCTCTCGTTAATCTTTTTCCCCCAGGAGATCCGTATTTTCCAGTCAGATAAGGCTGAAAAATTTCAGACAGCGAGAGGCAGCCAAACCCCCGGCTTGTTCCTCGCCGCCAGCCTCCCCGACGGGCCCTGCTCTTCCCCCTCCCCGGGTTGGCTCCTGCACATACACACACAGAGGAGGGGTGGCGGGGCCGGCAGCCAAACCTCCTGCGGCGGACGAGGAAGTCCTCGGCCAAAGCAAATCCAAAGAGGGGAACGGGGGCCGGTGCCAGCGGCGGGGCCAAGGCCTCCGTACGGCCGGCAGGGGGCGCTCGAGCCCGGTCCCCGGCGCTGCCCCGACCCGCGGAGGAAGGACCGCGGGCCCCTGCGCGAAGCACGGCGGGGTGGGTTCCGTACGGCGAGGCACGGGCGGACTTACCGCATATCTTCAGCCCGATCTTCCTGGTGCACCCATGAGCCACACCGCACCATGAGTCGTAAGCTGGAAGAGAAGACAGAATCGTTCCGCTGGGGCGTCCGCCCCGGCCCCTCCGTGAGGAGCGGCTGCTTCCAAGCTTGGCGGCGCCGGAGCGTGCCGGACGCGGGGCAGCTGAGCCCCAGCTGACAGCGAGGTGACAGGCTGGCCCGCCGAGACGAGACGGAGAGGCACCCGGGACCCGAGCATCTAATAATTTACTGGCGGGGCTCCAGGGAAGTGGCAGCTTAAAATAAAGTGGCGTGAAATGGGGTCACTAAAGAGTTCAAGAATTAATTGGGTGAAAAATAGTATTTGACTACATGATCGGACTTGCATGACTAAACCTCGGACGGACTGACGAGCCGTCGACGGCCGCTCCAGGGATGCTCCCGGCCGGGCCCCTCCTCCGGAGAGCTCTATGCTCCGCGATCCGGCCCGGGCATCGGTGTGGCTGCCCCGGGGCCAGCAACCCTTCTCCCGTGGGCCCTGCATGGCCGTGGAAAAGCCGCCGAGAGGCTCCTGGGAGGGGGCAGCGCCGGTGTGGCAGTCACGTCCCGGTCGGCCCCAGCCCAGCCCGGGAGAAGTGGGGGGCGAAGGTCGGGGATGAGATGGAGGAGCGTCGGTCACGGCACAAGGCACAACCAAACCTCCTCGGGCCCTCGCTTGCAGCCCTGGGGCAGCAGCGGGGTCGGCAGGGGCAGCCGCGGGGTCGGCAGTGGCCGCAGCGGAGCAGAGAGGGCTGCCGGGGCGGGTGTGTGGTGTCGCTGACGGGGCCCCGGAGCCGAGGGAGCGCCAGGGCGTGAAAGGGGAAGACACAGAGCGGCTGGGCAGGGGCCGACCAGCCGGGGCGGGCGGCTGCCGAGTCCCCGGCGGGGGTGGGGGGGAGGAGCGGGCGGGCCGGGCGGATGAGCCCTCTCGGCTGGGCGCTGCTCTCCCAGAGGCGGGGAGCCCGGGCGGGTAGGTAGGGTAGGGCAGGGCAGGGCAGGGTGGGGTGGGGAGCTGCTCCCAGCTGCGATCTCCTGTTTAGACGCGTTGCATTTAATTCGATTTCTGCGTATGACACCTCAAGCCGACGGCAGCGGTGCCCGACACCCCGCCCGGAACAAGACCTGTGCTGCCTTTCGCCCCCTCCTTCGCTCCTTCCAGCTGCAGAATAATGACCATAACGGCCCCTATGCTCATGCCTCATAGCCCTTTCAGGGTAAAAGCTATTCCCCGCTTCGCTGTGCCTGACAACCTCTCATACTGCTGCCCGCTCTTTGTCTCTGAGGCTTTATAGCGTCGAGCTTCTTTTTTCTTTATTTTCAGTAGGCGACGGTCTGAATTGCCTGGCGGGGCTATAAACCGTTTCTCTATCCACCTGCAGCAGCCTCTGCTTCCCACTCACACCTCAATAACTCAAGGCGAATTCGAAGCAATTAGGAACAAAAGGCTTTGAAAAGCTACAATTAGCATCCAAATTTCGCTTGATTACAGGCTTCAGCGTAGGCTGAAAGGAAGCTGCAGCATTAGCATTTATAAAATATAAGGGGGGGAACAGCCGCTTTAAGCCACTTCGCCCTTTAACTCATTCTTTTCTCCACAACCTCCCTTACAACATCCTGATTTGCCATCTGGGGGGTTCATTTTAGAGTTTAGATCTCTCAAATGTGTCTGTAAGATAAAGGCAGAGCTGGCCGTTGAGGTGGGCTTTTCCTTCCAGCGTGTTATCCGCCACACCAACCTCTCCCGCTCCCACCAGGAAGATGGTTTCTTTGTGTAGAACACTTTCCGCACCTTGCTGAAGGGCACAGAAAGGGGCTTCGCGGATTTATCGTTTTGTTTCGAAATTGGTCTTTCCCAGCCTAGGTGGAGGAAACCTCCAAAACACTTTAAACGAGGAAAATATTTAAACCTACTTGTGGGTCGTAAGTTAGTCGGGGCGGGGTCCGGAGCGTCGTTGGAGGACGAGGGAGCGGAGGAAGCCATCCCTTCAGTAAAGACCCAGTCCCCGGAGCCCAGGTTTCCTCGGATATTCCTTCGAGGGATGGGATTTGCTAGAAGGAAGAAAAGGAGGGTTTAGAAGTCTGGTCCCCCGCAGAACCACACCGGAGTCCCGTCCGGGGGCAGGCGGGCGGTGGTCTGCAACCCAGCTTCAGCCGCGCAGGTCCCGGGCGGGGGTGGGACGGGAAGGAGAAATGCCTCGACAGCCTCAAGAGCCAGCCCGTCTCTCCTCTGGATGCCGCGGCGCTCCCCCCACTCACCCCGAGCCTGAATGACAGATTTAGCAGAGCATGAAGTCTATCGCAATTATATCGCTAGCCGCCGAGCAAAGCAATTATCTGACTCGCGTCAGACGGAGACCAATGTACAAAGCGGGCTTCGAAATCACCTGCCCAAACGACCTACAATCCCAAACGGAGCCCGTTTCTGTGTGTTACCATCCGAGCCCCAGACACACGCCTGGCTAAACATTCAGGGAATACTGTCAGATATACCTCCGCCACCACAAATGCGTGTTTTGCCCAGGTCCAACAGCAGGCATCACACAAATGTGTATTTGCACACGCATGTTTCAGCAAACGGGGACAAGCCCAAGCTTCAGCACTAAACAGCGCTCGTTCTCGTTGCTTTCAGCTGCATAAATGGCAGGAGGAGGTATGTCTGTCTGGGGAAGGAGGGTGCTGGACCAGCCCTCGTTCCTAGCCAGATGTTCAGATCTTCCCTGGCCGACACCGCATTCCAATAACCAATACAGGGTCACTGATCGAAATTTGCCGGGTCAGCGCCCCGCTCGCCTCTTTGTCCTCGCAGCTACCTGAGATTTGGTTTATTCCCCTTGTACAGAAAATGAAGGTTGCGGTAACGAACAAACGCTTCCTTTGTTAGCTTTTTCCAAGTCGGTAGCTAGGGATTCATTTCCACTGCTGGGCGGATTTACGCCCGCGTGTAAACTCAACGGATCAATGATTCCAATTGAAAAGAGGTATTTCACTTTTGTAATAAAACCACAAAGCAGAAGAGATTCTCTAGACAATGCCTGGAAGTGAAGTAACAGGTTAACACAACGTCTAAGGCTCTGGCTGTCTTAAAATACCCGTTATCCCTCTGTAGGTATGACAGCAACCAAAACCGATTTTAGGAAAAAGAAAAAAAGCTCCAGATTCTCAAAGAGGTTCCCAAAGGTCTGAAAAAACAGGATGCTGTTTAGAGGAGACTTACCGAGGGCGCGAGCTGACACTGGTACTGTGGGAGCCCAGGCAGGCAGGATGACTCCAGCCTGAGAGCGACCCGCTGCTTATAAACTCAGCCAGACACGACGTCGGAATACCAATCGTGCCGCGGAATTTAATGCGAGATGACCTTTTTTTCCAGAAGTGCTCGGATTTGCTTTTTTAAAAGCGTGAATCGCCGGTTGATCTGCTGCGACGCAGGCATGAGTCACAGAGCTGCCGCCACCCCCTCCGCCCCGCTCCGCACCAGGGCTGGGGACCGGCTGGGGCGGGGAGGGACGACCCACCGCACCCCGTCTGCTTCGCTCCGCGACGGTGGGGCTGCCCAGAGGCGGCGGGGAGGCCACCCGGGCACCCCGGGCAGGGGCTTCTGCCGGCAAGTCCCCCGCCGAGTCCCTTGTGCGGCCGGCTCTGGGGGCTCTTCCTCTCTAGCATTCGCGTGACCCGGGGTCACCGGCTGTTAACAGGCGGCAGAGCACCGCGCACCTCAGCGTACCGGCAGAGGGGCCGAACCACCTCCCCGACCGTCCTTGCGGCCCCGTGCGGCTCCCCTCAGCACGGTGCGGGCCACAGATGAGCCAGGAGGGGTCCGTGACAACGGCAGCTTAGCAACTCCCCCTCCCCGGTGCCGAGGGCTCTATGTGCCCTGCCGGTCACCCCGCCGGTTCTCTCGGACAGCTCACCCCCGCCGGTCCCCGCCCCCGCCGGCTGACAGCAGCGCCCTCGCCCCGGTGTCCGCCAGAGGGTGGCATAGGCCCGGGCACGGCTGCAGGGAACACCTGGGTTTCCGAGGCCTGCCCTCGGTGCGGCCCTTAGCTTACCATTTTATACCAGACACCCTCTTGCTACGAGAAACCGAGAAACATTAAGACATTTTGTTTTGTACCCCCGACAACTCCAGATCTGTGTTTCTCCATCCCACTCCCCGGAAATGCTTTGCCAACATTGAAGTGGCAACAGTGATGCTACATTTCAGCATGTTGTGGTAGCTACGCAGATGACTAGACCAAACCCTTCTCACAAAGATGGCATGCAAGGGGCTGGGAGGAATCTGCAGTGAGATGGGAGGAGGAGAAAAAACCTGATGGAGCAGGAGAGTTTCATCCCATGTTGGGGGTGCTGGGCAGTGCAATGAGCAGCAGGGATGTGTCCTTCTTGAAGGACTCTAAGGAAGAAAAACCCCTTTTGGAAAGGAGACCAGCCAACTGACAGCACTAAGTAGCCAAGACAAATGCTTTGCAGAGCACACCTGTGTAGGAACTGGGCATGTAATGAAAACAACAGCAGCACAAAAGCCAGCTTTTAAACAGCTCTAAAGGTATTCACAGCACCAGCTGACATGTTCTTTATCCATCTATTCCCGGCTATTGTTTTAAAGGTGGTTTCAACTAATTCAGCAAAATATTTGCTCAGTTCACAGCATGAGAAATAACTGTAGCTGATGGTCTTTATAAACGGAAACAAACATTTATAGGAAATCGTGGCAGGGTTGCAGCACAAGGAGTCAACAAAAGATCACGCGAAGAACTCCTAAGCCACCTATCAGGCACACAGCCTGTCTGCTCACTCCTTTCCTTCTGCTCTTCCAAAAGCGCGCGTGTCTCGAGTAAACAGACATTATTTAACATCATTTACACTCAGAGAAGCGAAGGCCCACTAGGGAAGACACCAGACACTGAAGAACAGGGCGCTTTCAGCGGCACGATAGAACGAAGAGTCGCTCTGGCACGGCGATGCCCGCTGTGGTGGGGCACCTCCCGCACTCCGCACCTGGGCCTCGCCGCTCCGTTCAGTACCGAGGACAGCGCCCGCCCCCCCACCCCGCCCCGGCGCGGGCGGCCCGGCACGGCCCCGGGAGGCGCGGTGAGGGCAGCGGCCCACGCCGGCCCCAGGCGGGGTGGTGTGTGTCTGTGTGCTTGCAACCCCCTCGCTACCGGGCGGGCAGGAATATGCCGAAACCGAGCCCCAGAGAGCCTGTCCCCGCTCCGCCGGCCGGCCCAGGTGCCCTCTAGATGGTGCTGTCTCTCAAGCGCAGACGCTCATCAAAGCCGGCCTGCATAGAGCCCTCTCGGCGGCGGCAGCTTGGGGTCTCTGCTGATCAGAGTCTCCCCTCGCTCATTACCACGGAAGGAAACGCCTGGTAACTCTCATTTGCAACGGACCTCCTTAAAAATCCAACCTAAACCCAAACCACTCCAGCTCTGGAGGCTTTATTCCGTACTTGCCACACGACAACTAAGAGCTTTGAAACACCTTTGCCAGATGTACGGGCCCAGGCAGGGCCACTCAGAAGTACCAGTTTCATGAGATTGTTCAAAGCCTTTCCTCCAGCTCTGCTCAGCCCCTCTTTGCTGGTTTCTCTTTCCATGTATTGTAAAACACACTAGGGAAACCACTGAACCCCAGTACCAGTAAGGCAGCAGGGCTCAGACAGATAACACCTGTTAGTGAAGCTTATAACCAGTGCATCGATTAGAATTCATTTAAAAAAAGGCCAGACCATGGAGTATCAAAAGATATGCCAAAAGTTCACCTCCATCCACTAATCGGATATGCTAAAATATGAATCTTGAGTACCCTGGGTGGGCACAGGAATGAAAATGATGCATTAGATATCTTTAGCAGGAAAGACCAGTTTATGATTATACAGTGTTTATAATTGTGGCTTATTAAAATAAGGCTGCTGAACAGAGGAAAATTGTCTATTAGTTGTATTGCAGCCTGTGGTTTGAAGAGTCAGGAGATGCGTACAGTCTTTTAAGAGACAGGAGCATCCCTTGCCTAACTGTAAGGAGTTCACAATGCAATCCCATGCCCACAGAAAAGCAAAGAGGGGAAAGGTGCTGTGACACACTGTCTCTTGTTTCTTCATGTTCTGAACTATACGCATATTATATATGCATTTATCTGCAGGCAGAGCAGTAAACTGGCCTTTTGGTTGTTACGACGATCGTGGTCTTCCCCTCCATGAATGTTCTCTTTCTGTTGCCTTTTAACAGCCATTTTGTTTGGATTTTATTTTAACTAGTTGGGATCATGTATACTCTTTCCTTAAAACTATATACAAGAGTACATACGCCGAACACCTGGGATGTTCCTAAAACTGTGGCCTCGTATTTTTATCTTTGCAGGATGCGATTACCATTTTTTTAATCACACAGTTATAATAATATGTAATACAGTACATTCTTACAAAATGTATTCATTGCATCAGATATCTCTTTCTTCTTCCACCATTTCTGGTACACAATCGTCTCACTGACCTGTATCTTTGACAGAATTGAATAATGTAAATGGTAACTTTCCTTAACTCTTGACAAAGGAAAAATTGGAAAACTGTTAAAAAATAAGTATTTCAGAACCTTCCTGGATATCACCTGCAGCGCTAAAAATACAGATATAAGTCACTGTATATATGTAACCCATCCAAGTGAACTTGCCAAGAAAAAATAAAAAACTATTGCTCTCCTTATTTGTCCCTGCCCAGAAAATTCTACAGATGGAAATCTGGTGATTACAGACTTATACTCCTATTCTGTTGATAACTTTTGCTGGTTTATGGTGCTTGATAAAAATGTATTGAAGGTGAACGATATGTTTACTTTGGGTTTTATGATCAGTCAGTCACTGGTGTACCTAACTATCCCATATTTAAGGATCATGTCCATCACTTGAACATCAAAGACAGCTCAAGATGAGCTGCCAGCTAGAACACTCAGCACCAACATGATGAAGGGCATTTAGAGAAGTATAATGTGAAGCACATTGTTTTACATACTTTGTGGCTTCTTGTTTCAGGATGTCCCCTTCCTGATCCATGCTGGCACATGCTGCTGCCTGTTTTGATCTGCTTCATCTGAAAAACACCCCGAAGAACAACCCACATCCTGAAACAACAGCAGCAGCAAATCCGAACTCTCAATACCCCCCAGACATACATGGAAATAAGCAGAGAACCCCCTTACTTCCAAACCATCACAAAATAAACCCCAGGATGGATCAGACAAAATTGCTAAAGTTAGGGAACTGTGATGGTAGCATGAAAATAGAACAAAAGTGACAGTACACCCAGTAAGTCAGCTCTCTACCAGTTTTAGGGAATCGCAACCATTTACCCTGTGTTTGAAGTAAAATTTATTGCCTGCCTCCCCCAGTAACTCTGTAGAGCCAAGACAGCTAATGCCTGGATTGTTCCCTAGTGATGTGTAGCTATAATTGCTACATGTCTCACTGAATTATATCTTTCTATCCCATAGGAGGGCATCAGTTTACAACGAGAACACACTTAGTAATGTCAGTAATGCTGTTTCAGGAGGTAAGGCAGCTTGGCTCTCCAATCTCAGAGTGAATTTGGACTCGGGGGTTATTTAATACACAATTTATTAAAATTAAGCATATTTCATAAATAATCCTCAGGAAACAAGAAACGTGGGCTTTTCTGCTACTTAAAAAAACCACTTGTCAATTCATAACTAATTCTCATGTATGGGCTTTCCTTAGTCTCAAAAGTTTTCAGGATCATTACAGTTGTGAACTAGGGGGGTTCTTTTTCCTTTTCCCCTTTTTCTCTGTGGTGGATAAGTCATGTTTTGCATTGATGAATTTGTCTGTTCACTCTGAATAGTTATCAGTACTTGTGAAAATAGTAGGCCACCTGCAGCACAGTATTTGAAACTCTCACCCTCTGGTGTCTTTTAACCTACAATATTACAGAAATAAAATAAAAAAAAAAAAACTTTTTAGAAAAGGAAAGTTAAATGCACCTGATTGAAATTAAAGTTGTTTAAGTAGAAAACCAATACCTACATTTGATAACAAGGTGCAGACATAGGCACAGAAACACAAACAGGACAGTACAAACAGCTACAAAATTGGACAATTGGCACACTCTACTCTGAAAAGTTAGATACGGAGTTTGTCCACCATATAAAGCAGGTGGGCAGGGAAGAACTTTTCCCTCTGTTTGACTGAGTAGTTCATATTCTTCAATCTGAGTGGATTTCATTCGCACTCTCACAGATTCCTATTTTGAGGTACTAGAGGAGTGCACGAGCTTTAAGCAAAGCCAACAGGTATTACACACACCTCTCTCTTCAATATGTATGGAATATTCCTAGAGCATTGAGGGGCAATTTTAAGGAAAAGCCAGATCAAGAAGACAGGTGATTCAATCTGAGGACTTCAGTTCCCAAGCAGAAAATCAGATTAGAGTTGTCACGTTATAGACACATATTCAGGTCTATTTTTGTAATAAATTCCTGTCCTCTACTTTGGCCCTCCAAAAATTCTCTCTAAGCCCATATTTACCTAATGCTTTTGATTCCTTTTGCTGGCATTTTGATAGCTGCACTAGAAGAAGACCACAGAAAATGCAGAGCCACTGTCATCTAGAGTAGTGTTAGCAACTCAGGACTAGAACAAGACACAACTAAGCCATGCTATCTTTCAACAATACATGTTCAGCTACAACAAAGTTTTTTAAAGCCTACGCACATCAGATAAAGATCAGCACTGCTCCGAGCAATGAATCAAGCATAACCTCTTTCTTCACAATCTTAAGGGATATTTAATGTTTACAAGGGTTTAAAGGAAATGCCTGGGAAGGGATTCAAGAGAGTACAGTGGCTAGTGCTCTG